GGGGATGAGCACTGAGTGTTATGTAGAAACTAATTTGACAATAAACTATTTGTAAAAAAAAAAAAAAAAAAAAAGACGCGGCCCAAGGATAAAAATCAAATCAAAAGTATAGCTCTAAGACACTTTTTTAAGTTTCTAAGGAATTAAAATATTTTTTGAATGTTTATTCATTTTTTGAGAGCAAGAGAGAGAGACAGAATGTGAATCGGGGAGGGGCAGAGAGAGACGGAGACACAGAATCTGAAGCAGGCTCCAGGCTCTGAGCTGTCAGCACAGAGCCTGACGCGGGGCTCCAACTCATAAACCATGAGATCATGACCTGGCCAAAGTCTAACACTTAACCAACTGAACCACCCAGGCGTCCTGAGGCTTCTAAGGAATTTAAATTAGTGCTTTCTCAGCTAAACAAAATGGTTTCTTGGAAGATTAAAGATGTAGTCCCATAGAAGCCTGATCCCAAAGTAGCAGTAAATCAGTCTAAAAGGAGAAAACTCTCTTGAAAACAATTGTAGCTTTGGCTTCTAGAGCATGGAGTGGGCTTTGATCTAATATATAAAAAACTCTCAAAGTTCTTTAGGGGATTGCATTAGCAAAAGTACTGCCAGACTAGACTCATAGAGACCATGACTGTGCAGATTGTAAAGAGGTTTCTGGGCCCCTAACTTTACGCAGACAGGAATAGGCAGGGAAATTGTTCAAAGGGCATTTGGGGAGATACAATGGAACTGGCATTTGGAATTTTAAGTAACTGTGGGATATTAAAGCAGAGAAATCAGGATATTAGAGCAGAGCAATCATACAGTTCCAAACCTTGAGAGAAAGATCTGGGCTATGTATATAAATTTGAGAGCCATTAGCACATAGTAAAAATACAAAAGTACAAACCAAACTTTCAACCTCAGTTGAAGTATAGATGAAATCTTGGGACCCCAGAATGCATTATTCAATGAGAATCCTAATAGAAGCAGAAAATGGCTGACACAAGTGAGAAGGCAAGGCACTGGGCTGGTTTTACAACGCAGTCCTATCAGTCAGGTTCCTGGGAAGAAGAAAAAGAAATCACCCTAAGTGAGTTCAAATTAAGACTTGAATGAAAGGAGTAACAAAGGTGTGGGCAGATATGATGGGAAAAAACAGAACATCAAGGCATGGAGAGACTTACAACCTGGGGAAACCATTATTACACCTACGACCAAAAAGTCAATAGTAAAAAAAAATGTTAATGGAACTTCACAGGAGGCACAGCCCAGCAGAACCTTTAGTTGGGGGGGGGGGGGGG